GCTGGGTCAGCGGGGCGGGGCCCGGGGCTGGGTCAGCGGGGCGGGGCGCCGGGCGGCGCCGGACTGAGCGGAAGGCGAACCAGGAAAGCTCTCCCGCACCCCCGGCCCCTAACCGCAGAAGACAGACATGCTGACTTTTCCTCCAGCGGACACAGACCCTCCTCCCCACCAGGAGACGAATGTACAAACTCCCCCAAAGGAACAGGTACACAGATCCCTCCCCAAAGAGCAGACCACAGGACTCCCTTCCCCACACATACAGTCACCTCCAAGAGAAGATATAGCCCCTGACCAAAGGAGAGGCACAGAGGGAGCTGACAGACACAGGAACAGAAACACATCGCTTCTGCCTCCTCAAGAGGAGGCACGCCAAGGTGTGGACGGGGAAGGAGAGAATAAGGAAAATAAGATATTAAGATAAGATCCGACGCCAGCTTACTGTTTACTTATTGACATTCCCTGCCCCAAATCCCAGACCAAGCCTGCGGGAAGAAGGAGAAAGCAGGTGAGTCCATCTGTCTAGTAGTAGGTTTCATATTCTGCATTCCGCAGGACACACACTTCTGACCCTCCCAGACAGCAGTCCTTCCACCTTGAGAGCTCCCTGGCGCGCTCTGATCCCTCCTGCCTTAAATTCACATAACTCACGTTTGTTGATGACTTTTTGGAGGAAAGAGAAGACAAAAACAAAACAAAAACCTGCACTTTCTTTGGCCTGACTTGATCTTGGAAGGTGAGACCATGATATTTTTCAACTTTTAAAGGAGACCCCAGAGCAGATAGCTCCATCATCTGAAGACTAGTGTTCAACCCTCACTCAATCACTCTACCTGTGTGTCCCTAAAGCTGTCACTTAGCCTCTCTGAGACTTAGTGTCCTCATCTGTAAAATGGGGATAATAGGATCTCCCTGCCAGGGTTTTGTGAGGTGTGAAGGATGTGATCAAGGCAATGTGCCTGTGGTGTGAGTGATCAGTTCCCCCTCTGTCCCCTTAGCCTGGTTTACCCATCTCAGGTGTCAGCCCTTATATCCTACTGTTGTCTACTGAGTTAAAAGCCAAGCCCCACCTGGTCATGCAACCCCACCTTTCCCAGGCCTGGGGAGAGGGGCAGAGTTGAAAAGAAGGTACTTCACACAGGGACCTTATTCCCACTGGCTAGGCCTTGGTCCCTGCTCCTGTCTCCATGGACAAACTGGCCCCTGGTCTCCGATACTGGGGTGGATGACTTTGGGTCACCCCATCGCAGGTGCCATCAGCTAGGACCTTTTGTTCAAAGTGCTGTAAGATGGTGAGAGAAAACTAGCTCTAGAGGAACAAGTCCCTGGATACCCAGCTCATCTCTCCTCACCCTTCTCTGACTGTTGAGGGTGGTGGCTGCCCTGTGCCCCTGCACTCCTCACCACAGCCACATCTGAAGCACTTCCCAGCCCAGCCATCACCCACTCTCCTCACCCTCCAGCAGCCTGTGGTAGGCGGCGATCTCAAAGTCCAGACCCCGCTTGATGATCATCAGCTCCTGGTACTCACACAGCTGCCACGCCACATCCTGCTTAGCCCGCTGCAGGGCAGCCTCCAGCCAGGCCAGCTTGCTGATGGTGCTGCCAGAGCCACCCTCCTCCTGCGGAGCTGGCGGGTCCTTGGCTTTCTCTAGTTCACAGGGCTTGGGGGGTGCAGGGCAGATCAAGGACAGAAGAACATTCTTGGCCCTCACTCCTTCCCCCTTAAAGATCCAGACCTTTCTCTGAGGCTAGAGGACCAATGAGGGATCAGAGATTGTCCATGATTGCAAGAAGTGAGCACACCTGTTCCAAAACTTGTGTTTGTATGTCTGCATGGCAAGGTGAAAAGAACCTGCCCACCTGTCTACTTTCAGGGTGAAGATTTGAAACCAGACATCTAGGATGGCTGAGAGAGAGCTTTTTACATCTAGTGTGGAGAAACTTCTAATATGAGCTAGGATCCTGGAAGCATCCAATGCTCTTGCAGGTAATGCTGTGGTTATTGTTTCCTAAGAAAAACTAGCAAGAAGAATATCCATTCCTCACAGGAGCCTAGAGTTTATAGTCACCAGGAGGAAAAATATTAAGACCCTGGTGAAGGTCTTAATTTGCTGCTTGAGAAACCAGAGCAGCTGTGGCTGGAGGGAGCCTGAACCACGACAGTCCACCCAGTCACTCTGTCCCCTCAGACCCTCAGCAGCTTCTCCCTCCTCAGAGTCACTCATTCTTGCACAAGGGAGATCCTCTCCATGCATATCTTTCCCAGCCTGAGACACTTGCATCTGCAGAAAGCAAGAAAAGACCAGGAACAGAAGCCCGTCCCTCCCTGGCGTGAGACCTGAGCCAGTGGGGGTGTGAGAGGGCTGGGGGAGGGGTGGGGTAAGAGAGGAGCTAAAAGAGAATGGGAGAAAGCATCCTGGGGGACCAGCTCCTTACTAAGGCTCACAAATGCAAATGCCTGAAGGGGCCTGGCTGGAAGTATCAAAAGGTGAAGGCTGAATGCTAAATATGTATCAGGAGTTCCCAAATTCCACAAAAAACATCTGCCCTCTCCCATTTCCTGAAATCACCAGGACCTCTTTCACATTTTCAGACTTTCATTAGTCTACTTCAGTGACATTGACTCAGCACCTTTTCTCTTCTTCAAGGATAATAACATGCAGCCAGGGCGGTGAAAAATGGCAAGGGACCCTCTGCCACACACCCAAACGATGCGATTGGGAGTGGTAGGGAGTGCGGTACACAAGGGGGCCTATACCCCGTGTGAAGAAGAGGTAGATGACAGAGGCCTCTCTTCTCTAGCCAAATGCTACCATTGGAGAATCATAATTGAACATTGCCACATCTCCACATTTTGAAAGAGAACCCAGAAAACTGGGTTTCTAGATAATATCTTGCAATTTCTGAAGACGAGCTCAAATTTAATGCTGAGTAAAGAAAACACAAAACACAGATATAAAAATGAACATACACAAGCAAAAAGATAATGATGTACAAACAAGCACACGTCTTGATAGAGATGTACCTATATGTTCATTACTTACATAAAGTGCACAGGGTCCTAGGCAAAGGTGAGCATGTCATACACAGGCAGCTGCACTCCTCTGTGCTCAGACATTCACTAAGAGAAAGTCTAGCCATCTAATCCAAAGGGTCAGTGGGGAGGGGCAGGTGTCATAAATAATGGTCACCATCCCGCCATGGCCACTCTGTTGCCCCCCACTCCCACTTCTCACCTGACTCTCAGCACTGCCCACCTCCACAGTCAGCTGCTGGATGGCCTGATTAAGCCCATTCAGATCCTCCTTGCTGGGCCTCAGGCTCTGCATGTGTTTCTGCACAGTTGCCTTTAATTCCTCACACTGTGGAGTGGGTGGCAGAGGGGAGATGTGGTCAGGAGGTGAGGAGGGCAGACAGGGCCGCCCATTCACCCGCTGTCACCGGTGGTCCCTAGCCTCTCTGGGCACCCCTTTCTCCAACTGTCAAATGGAAGTGATCATTTTTCCTATCCCCAAGGGTTGCTGAAAGAACACAATGAGCTTGCCTGGTCCCTATGGGGCCAGGAGATGCCAAAGGAAGCCTGAACTCAGGCAGGAAGGGCAGCAACACAGGGGAGCCATCTGTTGAACGGAGCTTTGGGACAGAGATCACATAGGTTTATCCCAGGAACAAGGAGAGTTAAACTGTAGGAAATTGATTATTGTAGTTTACCACATCTAACCATCTACATTAGTACAAAAAACATTTAACGAAATTCACTAATTCCTAATTTTAAAAAACACATTTTAAAAACTAGGATTAGGGCTGGGAACAGTGGCTCACTCCTGTAATCCCAGCACTTTGGGAGGCCAAGGAAAATGGATCACCTGAGGTCATGAGTTCGAGACCAGCCTGACCAATATGGTAAAAGCACATCTCTACCAAAAATACAAAAATTAGGCAGGCATGGTGGTGGGCGCCTGTTGTCCCAGCTATTCGGGAGGCTGAGACAGGAGAACTGCTTGAACTCGTGAGGCGGAGATTGCAGTGAGCCAAGATCGCTCCACGGCACTCCAGCCTGGGCGACAGAATGTGACTCTGTCTCAAAAAAAAAAAAAATCTAGGATTAAGAAGCAATGTCCTTAAGTTGAATGCCATTAATCGGAAACCAGGGACAGTGATCTAGATTCTAGCATCTTCCCCAAACCCAAGGCCACTATGGGAAGTGCTGTCTATGAGATCAGGGGGCCCTTTCACTTCTTGCACCTCGCCCCCACGTGCATTCAATACATGAACAGCCAGGGAACAGTAACTGACGCTTGCACAGTGCCTGATGCTTTCCACAGGCTTTTACTCCACCATCTCACTGGGGCCTCACAGCCACCCATGAAGCTGGCCAGGTGGGTGTGACTTTTCCCCTTGTCTTCCCTCAGGCAAACTGGGGCTCATTCCAGCCACCACGTGGCAAGAGGGGAGTAAGTGGCCCTGCCAGCCAACAGTTGAACCAGACTGCATTTTAAGCCCATGCTCTGTGCCCTCCACCAAGGTCATACACACCCCCTCAACCCAGAGAGCAAGAACTATTCACACCAGCATGTTGCAAACTTCCTTCTAGAGCAGATGGTGTGTGGGGAAACAGATAGGAACTGACTTCAAAACATCATCTCAATCTCTGCTATGTTCCCACCCTGCTTTCCTGCTCCTGTTCCCAAAAGCTGATGCCCAGCTGATCTGGGTGGAGTCCAAGACACCTCATCCCCATGTGACCAGGGAGCCGCATGGATGAGTCTCACCATGGTGTAAGAACTGTGGCCTCCTCCAAGCTCTCTTGAGCATCAAAGCCCAGCTCCAGCCCAAGAGCTCCCAGAATCCTGACCACTGAGGATTAGGCCTTTTCTTTCTGGGCGCTCTGTGACCTCACCTCATTACAATCACAGAGTTCCACCCAGGAGGCCTCAGAGGCATGGGGTAGAAGGGGGCCATACTGTGATTCCAGATGGGAAAATAAAAGTTTCTGGGCTGAAGTGGAACCTAAAGGAAAGTGGAGGAGGGGAAGACTACCTCAGGTGGAGGGAAGGTGTGGAGTTGAGGAGCTTGGGCTTCTGGATGGGCACTGGGGAGCCACAGAGGGTGTTTGAGCAGGAGAGTGGCCTGACACAAGATGTGATTATCTAGGAGCAGTACAGAAGATTGACAGGAGGGCAAGAAATTGGAACTGGGGATGCCAGTCCCAAGACTTGGTAGGAGATCTTGGGTGAGGCAATGACTTTAACCTGTAGGAGTGCATAGGAACTAGAGAGCACAAGCCACTGAGAGCATTTTTCCTTTTGTTTTATAAATTTCTCATGCACGCAAAAGAGTATGCAAAACCTACATTTATTGATTTAACTAGCAACAATAATAAAACAAATCCGTGTACTCACCAGTACCTTCAAAGCCCCCCCTGCAGGATTCTTGCTGATCCATCTCTATCCATCTCTAATCCCATCTGATCCCCAAAGTAACCACTGTCTTGGGTTTTTATGTTGGTCATTCCCTTTCTTTTCTTTATTACTATGTCATATGTGTGTATCCCTAAACTAGCATTGAGTTTTGCCTACCTTTAAGCTTTATATGAATAGAATTACACCTTGTACGTTTCTATGACTTGCTTTATCCTCTTCGACATTCTAGTTTTGAGATTCATCTTTCTGATGCATGTAGTTTTATTTCTCAGTGCTGCATAGTATTCCAATGTATGACTATACATATACACACACACATACATATATATATCCATTTTCCTATAGGTAGCACATGTGATTTTTGTTTTGGTTACAACAGACAATGCTGTCGTGAACTTGCTTGTACATATCTGCTGGTGGACCTCAGCAAGAAGTTCTTTGGGGTACTGGTTGTCAAATTGTTTTTTAAATTCAACTCTAAATAAGAAATATAAGTTGTATCATGAATCACTACCTACATACAAATATACACACATATACTGAAATAAGTTTCATGGAAAAATCATTTACTTCTACTATGTGTAGTGCACTCTGATCTAACCAATCACCTTAACACATTCTTTTACTTTCAACTTATGTCCTAGTGTTTTAAGTTTATTTCTTTTTTTTATTTTATTTATTTATTTTTTTAAAGACAGGTTTTCACCATGTTGGTCAGGCTGGTCTTGAACTCCCGACCTCAGGTGATCCGCCCACCTTGGCCTCCAAAGTGCTTGGATTACATGCGTGAGCCACCGCGCTTGGCCTGTTTTAAGTTTATTTCTTATAATTAGCATGTTACCTTATTATTTAATAATATAATGAAAATGAAATGCTCATGAATCCACTTACTGATCCCAAAACTAAAACCTTACTGGTAATTTACATCTAGCTTTATGTTCCTTCCCTACCCTGTCCTCTCCTAATCACCCCACAGGTAACTGCTTTCCTGAAGTTTATATAATTCCTTTGTTTTTTCTTAGTTTCTTTATCATATACACACATATGCCTAAATATATATTTGTTTCAGTTTTCTGTTTTTTTTTATAAAAAGGATGTCACACAGGGTCTTGTTTTATTCAACATTATGTAGCTAGTATTCCTCCATTATAGTATTAGTATTTCATTCTTACAGTATTCCATTGTGTGACTATATCACACTTTATGTAATTCTATTATTGTTTTATTTTTTTCTCTTACAAAGATAGTGCTGTGAACATTTTTCTACATGTCCTCCAATGGACATAAATGAGAATTTGTGTTCAACTACAAACAGAATTTCTGACTCATAAGATGGTTAGTATCTTATAAAGGTGTTAACTTTATAATATAAAATTATTTTCCAAAGTTGTTATAACAATTCATACTTTGCTCAGCAATGTGAAAAAGATTCATGTCCTCTTAAGGATATCAATTAAAATTTAATGTGTCTTAATTTTCAACAATTAAATAATTCAATCTCATTTTTGGTCTTGCTTTGTATTTTCATGATTACTGTTAAAGTTTAAGATCTCTTTAAATGTCTATTACATGTATATTTCATTTTCCTTTTTATCTTTTTTTCTAATGAGTTTTTTGCCTTATTCTGGAGGATTATAAGTGTTCTTTATATTTTGGAGTATTACTAGTATATCATTTATATATTCCACAAGTATTATCTTCAAGTTTACAGCTTATCTTTTTACTTTATCACCTATTTTGAAAAATAAAGTTGTTAGTTTTAATGTAATCTAATTTATCAATCTTTTATGTTAAGCATTTTATGTGCCTTGTTTAAAAATCCTTCTCTACACCAAGAACAGAAAAATATTCTCCAATCTTTCTTCTAAAACCCTTAAAGTTTTGCTTTGACATTTGTGGTTTAAATTAGTTTGAAACTGATTTTGTGTATAAGAAAACAGGAATCTAATTTTATTTTTTACATGTGGATAACAAATGCATAGTCCTTTTCACTACATACCCCCTCTATTATACAACAAAATCATTCATTTATTTATTTATTTATAAATAAATTTAGGGTCTATTTTGTTCCATTGGTCAATTTGTCTGTTCCTGTGTGGATACTATACTTTCTGAATTACTACAACCCTATAATACATTATACTCCCAGAAAGGGAGAGTACCTATGTTTTCCTTTTCATCATTCCTTAGCTAGTCTTGACCTTTGTTCTTCCCCATAAATTTTAGAATCAACTTGTCAAGAATTATGTAAATCCTTGTTTGGAATTTGAGTGCTGATGTATCAACTCTGTAGATCAGTTTAAGGATAATTAACATATTTATGATAATAAAGCTTCCTAAGAACATGGTATAGCTCTTCATTTAATTAGGTCTTCTTTATCTTTCCTTTCCTATAACATCTTGTATAATGTTTATATTTCTCTAGGTGTAAGCCTTTCACACGTTCATTAGATTTATTTCTAAGTATCTTATGCATTTTAAATCATTATTTTATCAACTTTATTGAGATTTTGCATACAATTATATCTCAATATAAGTGCACACATAAAGTGCATATTTAACTTTATAAGAAATTGCCAAGTACAGATCAACAAATTTTGACAGATGATGCTCCAATATAATTACCACTGAATGAAAATATAGATTTCCATTATCTTAGAAAGTCTCCTCATGCCTCTTTGCAATCAGCTTCCCAATCCCATCCCAGGCAACCACTGATCTAATTTCTATCACTGTAGGTTAGTATTGCTAGTTGTAGAACTTCAAATGAATAGAAGTATACAGTATATATTCTTTATATCTGAATGTTTCTACTTAGCACAATGTTTTTGAGATTATCTATGTTGTGTCATGAATCTAGTTCATTATTTTTTGTTGCTGAATGATATTTTATTATAGGACTGTATCTCAATTTGTTTATCCATTCATCTGCTGGTACACATTTGAATTGTTTCCAATTTGGGGCTATTATAAATAAGTCTTCTATAAAATTCATATACAAGTCTCTGTATAGATCTGTTTTTTGTTTTTGTTTTTGTTTTTTAGTAAATACCCAGGAGTGGAATTGCTGCATCATTTGATAAGTGCACGTTTAACTTCATAAGAAATTGCCAAACTGTGTCTGTTTGTCTGTCTGTCTGTCTGTCTGTCTGCCTGCCTGCCTCTCCCATCAGACCGGGATCTCAGGTAGGCAGAGACTTGCCTGCCTCTGATTGTTTCCTCAGTGCCCAGGCCTGGCTGTGCACATGGTAGGGGTTCAGGAAGCGTGTGATCCAGGACACCCACCTTGTAGATGAAGGCAGCAAACCTGCTGTTGAGGCACTTGATCTGCTTCTCCTCCTACTTTATGCACTGCATATTGGGGTCAATCTCTAGGTTGAGGGGCGTGAAGAGGCTCTTGTTGACCAACACGATGGTGATGCAGGCAGTGCTGGGCCCACACGTGCTGCCAGAGTGGTAGCTGAATCTGCGTCCACAGGAGCCAGTGCCAAAGCCCCCAGTGAGCCACGGTAGCAGAGGCCGGCCGTGATGCAGCAGTGACCAGGCCAGGGCCCACAGGCCAAGATGTAGCTGAGGGTGAGGTCGTAACCATATCTCTGAGTGGTCCCACAGGACCTGGATTTGCAGACTCCGCTCAGACTCCGCTCTAGGCAAGACATTCTACAATTCATGGTAGCTCTCTGCTGGAGGAGATGAAGCAAGAGGAAGAAGAGAAGGACTCTGACCTCTCCCTCACTGCTAGCACCTTTTATAAACCTGGACACCTGGGTCTGTCTGCCTCCCCATGTGGAGAGGCCATATTGTCACCTTTATGGGCTTGGGAAATTTCAGTCATTTCTCCTCCCTCCTGGGGTAACATCATCAAGATGGAGCTTTGGAAAATCCTACACTCAGGCAATTCTGAAATGTTGGCAGCATTTCTTCCACAGCTGAGGGCTGACAGTGCCCAGGAGTCAAGGTCAGCCAAAGCCTGTACAGGTATTGATCGACTTACCACCTATGCAACTTACGACCATTCGACTTTACGACCACAATCGCTAGCCACGACTGCTCCGCGTCTGGCAGCGCAAATGTTGCCCAGCTGGGCGTATGACAGTGTGGACCAGCTTCCGGCAGCACTACCATCTCCACGTGCACCATTTCAACTGTACATATAGCCTACTCAACTTACAACCAAATCATGTTAAGACCGGTCCGCGGTCCCGACCGTGGTCGTAAGTCGAGCACTAGCTGTAGTCTCCACACTTTGTGAGGTGATTGTGGAGCTGGGGAGAAGCTGGATTGGGATGCTTCCTTTCAGGTCATTAGCTGAGCTCACAAGCTCAATTTTTCAGTTTGGGCCATCAGATGAGCTGCAACCAGGGACAAGGACAGGCCATCCTCACTCCAGGTGGGACAAGGACAGGCCATCCTCACTGGGTGGTCTGGATGGTGACCAGAGCAGTGAAATAACAACAGCTCTCAACAGTGGCTAGAATGTACGGACCACTTACTGTACAGCAGGCAGCATGCTAGTGCTTTACACACCCCTCGCCTGATCCTTACCGTGACCCTGGCAAGTTCTATTACCTCAATTCTACATACAAAAGAAACAGAGGCTCAGAGGGGTTGTGTGCAAGTTTTCACCCACATTGTAAGTGGCGGAACTCAGATGTGTCTGATTCCAGAGATACTTTTGATCACTATACCATGAAGAATGAAGAAATGTATTTCTGAAATGGACACACTGGTGTCCAAAATAAACAAAGGTACCAGAAGAACACACACGGACATGCGTGCACACACACGCTTTCACACATATACACTCTCTGTGTACCAGCCCCATGCCCCATTTACTCACACACCTCTGAGCATGGCACCTCTAGCACTTTGCTTGACATTCTAAGTGCACCTTGCCAATCCACCATGTCACCGTGTGGCCTCCCCTGCCCTCACCAACTCCTATTTTTCAGCCAAAGCAGATGACCTGCTATTCCCTTCACATCCTCTGGCCTCCCTTGCTTGCTGTCGTTGCTGACACCATTCCCTCCGCCTGAATCCTCCCCTCTCTCATCTCAGCATTTCCAGGTTTCTCACCTTCTTCAGGCCAAACCAAAGTGTCAGCTCCTCCAAGGACCCTGCTGACCCCTGGTCCCAAGCTCCCATGGCATGGTATTGCTCCACTGTAGCCAGACCCCCTGCGGCTTTGCACCAGGGTCCTCTGTGTGCATGCCTGCGCTGCCTGAGGATGGCAGTCTCTCCTTCATGCTCTGAGCCTGGTTCCTGATGGGTATTCAGTAGATGTTTGCTTCCTGCCCTGGGACCCACTGGAAGGCTAAAGAAGAGGCATGGTAACCCAAACAGGACATTAGCTTTTCACTGATAGGCTGGTATACTGGTGATAAAAGGGGTGCTGGGGGATGATTTCTAGAAGATCTGGCTGAGAATGAAGAAGCCCTTCTCTTCCCGGGCACTTGTGACAATCAACCCACTCTATGAAGAAGTATGTCCTTAATTGTTTCTGAAATTTCTCGGGCTTCAGCCCATTTCTCTCCCCTGAGTTCCAAGAATAATGAAAAGACCACCAGGCATATGTTTCCCGGAGGCTGGGCCAGGGATGAGCATTAACGCTGTGGAGGACCACTGAGATCTAGGTGACAAACCTCTCCATTCCAGCCCCTTCACATTGTACTCTTAGCGGGCACAACCCAGCCTGCAGCTCTTCTGCTTCTCTGGATTTTAAATGCACGTAATTATCTGAGTGGACAAAGGCTGATTATTAACATCCTCATCAATTGTGATAGCATGGAACGCCCAATCCATCCACCCACAAAACCCCAGAAAGGGATCCAAGCAAGAATCATGTAAGTGCCTCCATACGTCTAATTTAAATTCCCCCACGCTTCAGGTTAAGTCCAATTCCTCTTGTCCGGGAAACACCAAGGGAAGACTCCTTCAATAGTAATTATTCCCAAAAGAAAACTGGAGTCAAAATACATAATCCTGAAGCCAAGCATTAGTCACACAACTGGTGACTGACAGAGCAGGAGCACTGTCATCTCAGACAAACACTGCCGCTCTCAGTTCCAGCTCCCTTTCTAGCCTCATGCATCGCAAGGAAGTCACTGCTAACTACAAGCACACATTCCCAGTCAGGAAAAAGGGTACAATAATACCCACCTCAGAAGGACGCCCTGGGAGCTAGACAGTAAAACACAGAAAAGACAGCTCAGGCACAGAGGGAAGTAGGGGGAAAGTCTGGTGGGTAACTGCCAAACTTCACCCTCATACAATGGGCCCTAGTAAAACAGTGGTCCTGAATTAGCACATTCCTTTCCCTTCAGGTGCACTAAGATAGGGAAGCTAAAGGCAGCCTCAGGGGACATGCCTGCAGCCGCAGAAAGATGTATGGAAACAGACACATACTCTCCCTCCCATATAAGCACAACAAAGACACAGAAACAGTCCAAGCCTCCAATAAACTCCCCCACCCTAAATCCTGAAAAAACGGTTAGTCTGTAAGAAGAATGTGCCTCTGACCTTACTCAGTCAGATGTCCCTCTCATGTTTGTTTTCTCTAAAATAAACCTGTCTGGCAAGCCACCTTTTGTATTTCTTTCCTCTTTCTTTCATTCTTACAGACTCCCAGCTGAAGCTGGGGAAGAAGCACAAGCCTGTGGAGTTGGGCTCCAACTTCTACAGAGGACGGAGCTAAGGTTGGCCTTAAGCTGCTGCAAAACAGACCAAGGCTGGACCAAAGGAATCCGAGCCCATGAGAGTGCAGAAAAGACAGGAAAAGGGGTCATAGGGCACTCCCTGGAAATGAGATGCCAGGCAGCTCAAAGCCCCGACTGGCTGTGATGACCTCTGGAGTTCTAAGATTTAATTGCTGCTTTCACAATAATAACTCACATTTAAAAGCAAAGGAAGCTGAGGGTGATTTGCATGCTTCTCTTTAATGCTGGCTGCTGAGTGCACACTCCTGGTTTCCTCTGCAATAATTGGACACATAATTAACCTCCTTTATAATAGATTATGGCCTTCTAGAGTTGGTGACCATGGCCAAGCCTCAGTTAAGGGGAAGGCCTTGGATCGACCAATTTCTCCAAGGGCCCAAAGTCCAGCAGTCTGTGCTCCTGCCGTCAACAAGAACTCAACCCTCATTCAGCCCCCAAGGATTCAGACCCTGGGTGAGACCATGTGGAGGAGGGCCTGGAAGAGGGGTGTCCTCTCAGATTCTAACTCTGCCCCTCTATGGATATGGAGCCATCTATGTATGACCTTAAGTCACTGGGCCACCCTGAGCTCACCTTCCCGATCAGGTGGGCACAATAATACCCACCTCAGAAGGGTGCCCTGGGAGCTAGAGGAAACAATATAGTATAAAGAGGCCTCAGCACAGTACTAGGCACATTGTGGGCACTCCATAAAACAACTCCCTCCCCCTCTCCCAAGCAGAGTGGAGAGAGGTGCAGGAAGGAGGGACACTTGGCCAGAAGAGGAGGTATGAGCTGATTCCTGAGAGAAGACAAGAGAAAGTTTTTGCCCAAAGGGACACAGGATAAATGATAAATTAACAATAGAATAAATAGAACAAATAATAGATAAACAAACATTTACAGAGCTCTTACTAAGTGGCAGGTAGGGCCCTAAATGCTTTCTGGTTATTATCTCATTAGATCCCGGCGACAGCCCTCAATGCTTACTATTATTATCGCTATTTTGCATTGAGGAAACTGAGGCTCAGAAATGTTATTCAGCTGCCCAAGGTCATGACGTGAACCTGCGGGACTTCAGAGGCCCCACCCTCTCGACACGCACGCACACACTCGCCCCCCACACCGTGCAGGGATGTGCAGATAACCAAAGCCAAGCTTCCCTGCCGGCGGGGGACCAGGGCTATGGGACCGGGACCCAAGTGGGGGCCGGATCCAACGAGGCAACGCTGGGAGTGCCGGCAGAGGGAGTCCCGGCAGAGGGGCGGCCAAGCGGCGGAGTTACAACCGCACTCCCGCAGCGCACGGGCGGCGGAGCTGATCAGGCGCTTCCCGGCCCCATAAAGCGCGGGCAGGAGGCGAACGTCGTTTTATGGAGGCGGCCTGGCGGCCCGGCCCGCTTTGATTCCCGGCTCCGCGAGGCCCGAGGACCGAGCCCTCCAAGCTCGTTAACGCCTGGCCCGCGAGCTCCCTCCCTGGGCCCGCGGGCAGCCGTATAAGGCACGGCGCGGGCCTGGGGTCCATCCGCCCGCCCCTGTCGCCGCGGCACCATGTCCGACGTCTCCTCCCGCCTCGGCGCCCCCTTCGGGGTCCGCGCCTTCGGCTGCATCTCGGCCTGCGGGCCCCGGCCCGGCAGCTGCTGCATCACCGCCGCCCCCTACCGCGGCATCTCCTGCTACCGCGGCCTCGCCGGGGGCTTCGGCAGCCACAGCGTGTGCGGGGGCTTCCGCGGCGGCTCCTGCGGGCGCAGCTTCGGTTACCGCTCCGGGGGCGTGTGCGGGCCCAGCCCCCCCTGCATCACCACCGTGTCGGTCAACGAGAGCCTCCTCACGCCCCTCAACCTGGAGATCGACCCCAATGCGCAGTGCGTGAAGCAGGGGGAGAAGGAGCAGATCAAGAGCCTCAACAGCAGGCTTGCGGCCTTCATCGACAAGGTGGGTGTCCTGGATCACACCCTTCCTGAACCTAGAGATCCTGGGAGGAGATGGGCATTCCCAGGCCGGTCTCTCTAGAAATGGGAATGAGGACGGCTGATAGTTTATACAATTTTAGGCAGTGCTGGCCCATAGCATTAAATAACAGTGAAACACCTGATGGGAAAATTCATCTGCTTTAAAGTCTGTTTCAATCCTTAAGATTAGGTGGGGAAAAGTCTCACTGGATGCTAATGTTTTAGCATCTCTCCAATACTTGCTTCCCTCCTGCTTCTAATAAAGAGAGCAAGCCTTGGGTTCAGAACTGTCTAGGACAACTGTGTCTGCTACAATTTAATAATTCCCTTTATGTATGCCTAGTAATGATGGTTTTGCATCTCTGGTAGTAATATCAAGTTACTTTTTTTTTTTAATTGAGACGGAGTTTCACTCTTGTTGCCCAGGCTGGAGTGCAATGGCGCTGTCTAGGCTCACTGCAACCTATGCCTCCCAGGTTCAAGCGATTCTCCTATCTCAGCCTCCCAGCAGCTGGGATTACAGGCACGTGCCCCCACACCCGGCTAATTTTTTGTACTTTTAGTAGAGACAGGGTTTCACTATGTTGGCCAGGCTTTTAACCCCATGCATGTAAATGTTAATTGAATCCACTTATAGATAAATCATGAGTAAAATATCATATAGCATGGCAAAATCCTGAAGTCACCTTTGAGTGTCCACAGAAGAGAAAGGAGGCAGGGAGAGGGTGAGGGGCTGGCCCAAGGGCCCCCAGAGAGTGGGTGCCAGGGCAGGGCTCCAATCCCAGGCCCTCTCCAACTCTCCAGCCCCTGGGCTAGAAGGTCCACAGCTTGGGACCCCAGCTGCCCCACTCCCTCTAGCAGGGGCTGGCTCACCTCAGCAGGCACTGCACCCTGGAGAGGTGACCAAGAAATGGCTTCTGGAATGCATGCTGGCCCAAGAGCAGGTGGCCTGTCCTCCATGCCCATTTCCTATACTAATGTACTGTGTGGCACTGGGCAGAGGCTTCCCTTCTCTACCCCAGTGGCCTCCTCACCAGGGCTGTGTGTGGTACAGCGTGTGAGCTGGCCATGACTCTGAAAGGGAAGATGGGGACCAAGGCAGCCATGAGACCCCATAGCCAAGACCACCTAAAATTATTCCATGTAGCGGGCGTGGTGGCTCACGCCTGTAATCCCAGCACTTTGGGAGGCTGAGGCGGGCAGATCACGAGGTCAGGAGTTCAAGACCAGCCTGGCCAAAATAGTGAAACCCCATCTCTACTAAAAATACAAAAAATTAGTTGGGTGTGGTGGTGGGCGCCTGTAATCCCAGCTGCTTGGGAGGCTGAGGTAGGAGAATTACCTGCAACCCAGGAGGCGGAGGTTGCAGTGAGCCGAGATCGCGCCGTTGCACTCCAGCCTGGCAACAGTGTGAAACCCTGTCTCAAAATAAAATTTTTTTATATCCCATGTAATATCCACAGTCCCCATTCCCCACGTCTACAAGTTCCAACCTGGGAATTCCCCGCTGCACTCATGGAGTTGGATGAAAAGAACCCCAGGGCAAAAGGCAGGAGGACATCTCAGCTCCAGCTCAAATGTATGAGAAGTAGAAAACTGGAAGTCAAGGGACCTAGTTTGTTTGCTGACATCCTTTCTGGCCAGCACAATGTTGTTGCCATGTGTTCCTCCAGTTTCAGTGAAATCCAGGAAAAGCGTACAAGCCTCACGTTGCTGGGGGTCCTCACCCTCCCTGTTTTCCAAACTTCCCCCCATTCACATTACCTGCCTGGCCTCCAGAGACATATGACACAGTGTTCAACATAAGAGTTCAGGCCACCTAGGACCGTGCCCCACACATCCCCATGGCTCTTCAGGCCCCAGGCATCCTGCCTGGTAAGAGCCTAGCCTCTTTGACCTCCCCAGCTAGAAAGCCCTTCCCGCCTTGACCACCCATTCAATCAAATGTTCACCAAGCCAAGGGCTGGCTATGAGGACATCAATAAATAAGCCATAGGCCCTGCCCTGAGGGAGCCTATAGTGAAAGACATTCGCCCTCCTCTATCCCTCCCAACACTGCTCTACATTCCTTTCCTCCAGGAAGTCTTCCCTAATTATCGCCACCCACTACCCGCATTTGTCCCCCGTAGCCTGACAGTAGCATCTGTCCCTCCCAGGCCTCTCAGTTGCTCACTCATCCCATCCAGGCCCAACCTGGACAGACCCTCACTCAGACCTGAGTAAGCAATTATGAAACAAGGATTCTCCAGCTGCATCTTCCAGGCAGGAGAGGCCAGCAAGGGCCATGTGGTCTACCCCTTGCCCCTGCACATCTCACTGCTAGTTCCGTCTTGACTCTGGCTGTTCCCCAAGGAGGGCTGGGGATATTGGCTCCTCCCACCAACTTTTCTCCCACTTCCACACCAGGTGCGCTTCCTGGAGCAGCAGAACAAGCTGCTGGAGACCAAGCTGCAGTTCTTCCAGAACCGCGAGTGCTGCCAGAGCAACCTGGAGCCCCTGTTTGAGGGCTACATCGAGACTCTGCGGCGGGAGGCCGAGTGTGTGGAGGCCGACAGCAGGAGGCTGGCCTCGGAGCTCAACCACGTGCAGGAGGTGCTGGAGGGCTACGAGAAGAAGTGAATGCGGTGAGAAGAGGGTCTGGAGAAACTAAATGGGATTAAGTCAAAATATGATAGATTTGGGTTAGACCACAAGAGGAACTTCCCACCAGGAAGAAAATAGTGACAATAATACTGTGGGGTGGGGGGAGTTTCTTTTCTAGACTGGGAGTTTAAACATTGGAGATTCTGAACTGTTCCAGCTGCTTCATCATTATGTGTTTATTTCGTTAATTCGTCAAACATTTTATTGACCATCTACTCAATGTTGTAGGTGGGGAAGGAGTAAAGAAGTTAGAAAGAGGGGAAAGGAAAGGCACCAGGGCTGGGCAGGGTTCCTCCCCTCCACCAAGGGAGTTACAGCCCAGAAACAGAGAGGAGGTCTTTGAAAATGTGCAGGGCCCCCACCCTGACCCATATCAGGAGTGAGAGTCCCTGAAATAGAGCTTTGAGTAACATGGGTTGGTTTGAATGCCCACAACGAAGGGATGGACAAGTTCCCTTCAGTCCAACACTTTTTTGATTCTTGTGACAACCTCCAAAAGATCCAGTTCCTGGAGCGTGTTTACCTGTACCTTCGTCCCCATTTTTTTCCTCCCCCATCTGAGCCTTGTGTATTTTGTCCCTAGCTATGAAGAAGAGGTGGCACTAAGGGCCACCACTGAGAATGAATTTGTGGCCTTGAAGAAGGTGAGTGATCCCAGAATCCTTGTCCCCTATCTCAGAACTGAGGTCAGAGACAGAAGGGTCCTAAACCCAAAGGTTTGAGCTGGGAGGCCTTGGCTAAAATCAGGCTCTCTGTAATTCAGAGAGGTGGAGGGACTCCCTTAGAATCACACGACCCAGCTTCTTTCTATTCCTTTCCGCAGTGCTCCTGTGTTCCCTGGGTGCCTCTGGCAGCAGAATACACTGCTTCAGGCAGGGCAATATTCTCCAGCATCCGAAGTTGCCCCCATACAGCCACTGGCTTTTTCGCCTCCTTTGGCCCTGGCATAGAGTGTGCACCCTATAAGTATTTGTGAGTGAAAGAGCATGTGAATGGTAGACAATGGCTGCATCCTCAGGCCAGCAACAGCTTGGAAACAGGCGGGGACAGTGACCATCATCCCTGGCCTCTTAGACTTGACTCTGTACAAGTGCCGTCACATGGACCCTGATTAGGCCCTCAGCCACCTCCATATGAGGAAAGCCAGATTACTGTGAGAAAATGAGGCACAGAGGCTAAGGGGACTGGTCAGAGTCACACTGACTTGGAAGGGACAGAGTTGATCCTTGAGCCCTCTTCTGACCACAGATGTATATTTATCTTCCATGAGATTTCAGAGTGGGGAGGGGTGGGCCATCACTAGAACTGACCCATTGTATACTAGACCTAAGTTTTGGTGATAGTGCACAACATGGGTTCCAGAGGAATCATCCCAGTGGATACCAGAGGAAGTGCCTGCAAACCTCAGCGTCCCCCTCCCTTACCCAAACCTGCTGTTGACCCCACTATTAATGGCATAAGGGATTTCGCCATGGCATGATACCAGGCTTTGCGTTGAGCATCTACAGAGAGTTTCCAGGGAAGCTGCTCAGCCTGATGGGGCACCCCTCCCTGGTAGCAAAAAAGACAAGCATTCTGCATTGTCTCTCCAGGGCAACTCCTATGCCACCTTCTCCCCTTTAGAACATGGACTGTGCCTACCTGCGCAAATCAGACCTGGAGGCCAGCACAGAGGCCCTGACTCAGGAGATCGACTTCCTGAGGCAGCTGTACGAGGAGGTGCGGGCCGCAGAGCAGTGGGGCAGCAAGGAGGATATGAGTTAGACATTGGAAAAGGCTTGTTACCATTCAGCTTCTGAACCCCATGGTAGGGCAAGAGGAGAAGCCCCAGGCAGGTTCGCCATGAGCAGGTGAGGAAGCATGGCTTGACCTGCCTGCCACTCCCATGCCCCAGGCAAGCTAGTGCTCCTGGTTACCAAAGTGACAGTTGCCACAAGGCGGCAAACTCTGGTTCTAGACCCAAACTTTCAAGCTGGAAGGCCCTGATTGAAATCAGGCACTGGGCCTCAGACATGGACTCTCTACCTCCGAGTCCTCTAGGCCTCAGGATTCTGGGCTTCAGGAGTCCTGAGGGGGTCCCAGGGTTAACGTGGAAGACTGTAACTGGGAGGGTGGGGCTTCAGACAGTGAGGAAGCAGGGAAAGGGAACAGGAGACGATGATGAGCATGGGCTACCAAGAGTGGGGCTGGTCTGAGAAGCTCTCGCCACTCCCCCTCTGCTGCAGGAGATCCGCGATCTCCAATCCCACATCTCAGACACCTCCGTGGTCGTCAAGCTGGGCAACAGCCGGGACCTGAACATGGACTGCGTCGCCGCCAAGATCAAGGCCCAGTACAACGACATTGTCACCCACGGCCGGGCTGAAGCCGAGTCCTGGTACTGCAGCAAGGTGAGTGGGGCAGCACACCTGCCTGCTAGACATGGCAGTGGGAGGGATGTGAGGCATCTATTAAATAGGCTTCCTTTCCTGGGGATGCTGGTCCCTAGGGACGAGAAGAGAAGGGCTGTCTCTCTGAGGCTGGAGTGGCAGGGCAGGACTGCCACATGTGGTTGCACAGGCTGAGCACTGCACAATCTGCACAACCATCCATGGTGTCCTGAATGGATGGGAGGTCCCACCCAGAGCCCCATGAGCATCTCTCATTCCCCAGTGCGAGGAGATGAAGGCCACGGTGATCAGGCACGGGGAGACCCTGCACCACACCAAGGAGGAGATCAACGAGCTGAACCGCATGATCCAGAGGCTGATGGCCGAGGTGGAGAACGCCAAGTGCCAGGTATGAGAGCCCGGCCACCCCTCAGTATAGGAAGAGAGTAGGGATTTGAGTTAGAGGGATTTGAGCAGAGGGATTTGAGTTAGACCCCTTGCCAATGTGTGGGGACACGGGCAAACGCCAAGCATGAGGACAGCCTCCTCCATGGAAAAGGTTCTCCATTCTCACTGAATGGAGGCATTGGAGCAGTATAGAGGGAATGAGGAGACAAGGGCGTTCCTGCTTCCAAGGGCAGAGTGGGCCAGAGGAAACAGCACCAGTCTAAGGGGCAGGAAACCTGGGCTCTCAAACCAGCTCTGCCACTAGCTTGCCCTGAGACTTGGGAAATGCATTAACCTCTCTGGCCTGTTGTTCTAGATCAGTGATCGCACATTCAGAGATCAACAGTGGTGAGTAAATGAGAAGCAAGCAAGCTGTTCCCAAGGCACTTGGGTATGGTAGGGACTATAGCAAACTGGAAAGCACAAAGGCCAGGGCTAGGCAGATCCAACTGAGGCAGGCCATGAAGAAATGCAGGTCCAGTGTGGCCAGATCCTCTGAGCTTTTGAAAGAAGCCATGAATTTCAATTATTGTGTTAAATTTCCAAAATTGAAGACATTATGCAAACACTCCTGGGAGCACTAATTTGCAACCCCTGGCCTAACAAATAGATAAGGCCTCTTCTTCCTCTGCTAGTCAACGGTCAGTGGTTACCTGGCCTCTGACCCTGAGACCAGAACAGACACCCTTAATAATCCTCCCTTGCCTCCCAGAACTCCAAGCTGGAAGCTGCGGTGGCCCAGACTGAGTAGCAGGGTGAGGCGGCCCTCGCCGATGCCCGCTGCAAGCTGGCCAAGCTGGAGGCCGCCCTGCAGAAGGCCAAGCAGGACATGGCCTGCCTGATCAGGGAGTACCAGGAGGTCATGAACTCCAAGCTGGGCCTGGACATCGAGATCGCCACCTACAGGCGCCTGCTGGAGGGCGAGGAGCAGAGGTGAGGACCACAGCTACGGGGAGGGTGTCCCCTCAGTTTCCCCAGGTAGTGCTGCAGTGCTTCAACAGCCAGGAGCATGTCTGCAGATTATTTACTTCTACCTGGAGGAGAGAATTTGCAGGTTAACAGATTTCACCAGCTTTGGTCCCCACAACTAATTTCTGTCTCTTTGCTTTTCCCACAAGGTTGTGTGAGGGTGTTGGTGCTGTGTCTGTAAGTAATCTATTTTTTGGGTTCCAAAATAAGAGCTTGGGGTTCTGGGCAGGCAAACTTTTTCTTAAAGCTTCAGACAGTAAAAACTTTAGGCTTGTGGGCCGTGCAGTCTCTGCCTCAACTCCTCCGCTCTTGCTGTAATGTAAAGCAGCCACAGCCAAAGCAAAACTTAAAGGAAGAGGTGTGACTGGGTTCCAAGAAAACTTGATTGACAGTCAGCCGGCATGTGGCCATAGTTTGCAGACTCTAAAAAGAAAGACGGAGTGGGGCAGTGAGTGATTATGGTAACAATTAGCTACAGACAGGCACCACACAAGGACTTTTAGGTCAAGGATGGATGGAATATAGGACAGTAGTCCCATTAGATTCTAATACCATATTTTTACGCTACCTTTCCTAGGTCTAGCTCTGCTCAGATACACAGATACATACCATAGTGTTGCAGTTGTCTTCAGTCTTCAGTACGGTCACATGCTGTACAGATTTGTAGCATAGAAGCAATGGGCTGTGCTATAAAGCAAATTTGTCAAATCTGTGGCCGGAAGGCTGCATGCAGCCCAGGACAGCTTTCTTTTTTTTTTTTGAGACGGAGTTTCACTCTTGTTACCCAGGCTGGAGTGCAATGGCGCGATCTCGGCTCACCGCAACCTCTGCCTCCTGAGTTCAGGCAATTCTCCTGCCTCAGCCTCCTGAGTAGCTGGGATTACAGGCACGCACCACCATGCCCAGCTAATTTTTTGTATTTTTGGTAGAGACGGGGTTTCACCATGTTGACCAGAATGGTCTCGATCTCTTGACCTCATGATCCACCCGCCTCGGCCTCCCAAAGTGCTGGGATTACAGGCTTGAGCCACCGCGCCCGGCCTTCCCAGGACAGCTTTCAATGTGGCCCAACACAAATTTGTAAACTTTCTTAAAACTTAAGAGATTTTTGTGTGTGTGATTGTTTCAAGCTCATCAGCTATCATTAGTGTTAATTTTATGTGTGGTCCAAGACAGTTCTTATTCTTCCAGTGTGGCCCAGGAAAGCCAAAAGATTGGACACCCTTGAGGCCTGAGTGTGGTGACTTACACCTGTAATCCCAGCACTTTGAGAGGCCAAAGCAGGTGGATCACTTGAAGTCAGGAGTTCGAGACCAGCCTGGCCAACATGGTGAGACCCCCGTCTCTACTAAAAATACAAAAATTATCTGAGCGTAGTGATGGGCACCTATAATTGCAGCTACTAGGAGGGTGAGGCAGGAGAATCGCTTGAACCCAGCAGGCAGACGTTGCAGTGAGCCAAGATCACTGTACTGCACTCCAGCCTATGCAATAGAGCAAGACTCCATCTCAAAAAAAAAAAAAAAAAAAAAAAAGATTGGCCACCATTGCCGTAGAGCCCAGGTGTGTAGTCGGCTACACCATCTAGGTTTGTGTATGTGCACTCCATGATGTTCACACATCATTCAATGATGACAAAATCATTTAATGCTGCATTTCTCAGAACATGTCCCTGTTATGAGGCAAAGCATAACTATGTCTGCCTAAGAGAAGACCTGGGCTAACAGTATATAAAGACTACAGGAACCAGTGCCCATAGGAGGGTGTTGAGGGGAGCGGATAGAAACGAGAGAAGCTCTGAGCAGAAGGGGCCTCTGGCCACCAGGAGACTGAGCCCTGTCCTCCTCCTCTGGCAGGTGTCAGCAGCTCCCGCGGGGGGGTGGTGTGCGGGGACCTGTGTGTGTCGGGCTCCCGGCCGGTGACAGGCAGCGTCTGCGGCACCCCCTGCAGCGGGAACGTGGCGGTGAGCACCAGCCTGTGCGCGCCCTGCGGCCAGAGCTGCGGCAGCGGCCGCTCCGCGCGCTTCGCCTGAGCACCCCGCTTTGTACCGGTGCCACCCCGCCAGCAGCAGCCGTAGCAGCCTCAGCCTGCCGAGGCAGGCCGGAGCTCCCAGGGCCCCCAGATCAGTGGAAGAAGGGCTTCGAGGCTCAGCCGCCCACCCGGCCCCCACGCCACGCCTTCTGGTCTCGCGTTCCGGCCCGCTGATCCCTTCATTGCTTCCGGGAGCACACGCAGCTCTCCCCACCCCGTGTCTAAACGACTGTGTCCCCGCAGCCCAAGGCAAAGACCCGGGTCCGGAGGCCTGGAGGCCTGTGGCCTCTGAGGGACATATGGGCCTGGAGCCCCTTGGTGTGGACTTGCTGTGCCTTCTAATCCACGTGCGGGACAGGCCACCTCTCCCGCCTGACTGCCTGGCTCCCTCCCTCTCCCGTCTTTGTCTCAGCATTTCCAGTAAATCTCCTGGTGACATGCAATGAGCCCTGACAGTCTCTCCTTCCTCCTGCCCGCTTCGTCTTCCCACCCAGGTTTCCCATCAAGGGTGGACAGAGAGCTGTGCGCAGCAGTGGAGAGAGGGCTGGCCCACCCCCGCACCCTGCCCCACCCACAGATACTGCGTCCTGAAGGGCGGCCCCCAGAGCCAGCAGACGGAAGGGCAATTCGGCAAGCCTTACTCCGGAGGTGGGAGGGGCTGGATCTCCTGACGCCTTGGATGGGAACCTCATCACTGTGGCTGCTGGGACATCCCTGGTCCACTTCTTCCACTCTCCACTCTCAGCCCCCACCTCAGCATTTGAAAGTTCCCTGACCATAGGGTCAAATATACAAACTTCCCATCAGAAGCCAATACATGCCAGAGAGCTCCCCCGCCCGCACCACCACCATCACCCCCTGGGGTCCCACACACAGAGACCTCCCCACTGCTCCACAGTGCCCCTCATACATGCTGCTGCCCATCAGGAACACATTTCCCAATGAATAGGCCCTGCCACAGAACACCTGCCACACTCAGAGGCACACAGACCTGTTCGTTGAAGACCCTGACATATAGAGTTCCCCATCAAGCACTGACCTAACACACAGATGTACTTCCCCACTCCCATGGATCCAGGTGCAAACCCATCCCTCCGCCAAGGTCCTAGGCGCAGACTTGTTACCAGGGATTTAGACTCTAGGACCCTCCTCCACGCACACACACCTCCTCCCCCAGCCAGCAGCCCCACAGAATTCGAGATGCAGAGGACCTCTCCAGGGCCCCACCTAGCTGACCGTGACCCTGGCAGACCCAGCACCAGGAAGGGCTGAGGACGGCTGGCGTGAGAGTTGGCTAGGCCGCCCGAAACTGGGGCCTGGGGCAGCTGAACGTTTGTGGCCTCCTCACAAAAGGAATGTGCTCTGGCAGCTCCAGGCATGGGGGGAGGGAGGCACACAGCACTCCCACCCCTTTAACAGGGCAGCATTCCAATGCCCAGTTGCTGGCAGAGGCTGCATTTCCCCGTGGCTCTTCTGGGCTTCCTTAGGAGAATCTTTGGGATCAGCACCAGCCCTGGAGGCCAAGGCTCACCTTAGGAAAGCGTCCTGCCCCTCAGAGCAGCACCCCATCCCACCACGAGCCTTCTCAGTCTCCTGCACAAAAGGCTTCCTAGTCACCAGGGGGACCCTGCCTTCTCTAGTCCCCTGTCTTTTCCCCTGCCCAGCCTAATGAAGCCAGGATACCAGGCACGGGCCACACAGATCACTCAGACCTCAAAACGAGGCTGCTTTATTGGATGCTATTCTGACATCACTTTCCAGACTGTCTCGAGGTCTTGGGAACAGGCATGGGAGGCAGGAAGGGGAATCTTCCTGGGACTGTGGGCAGTGGTTGGGGGAATGGAGGAGTGGGAGGCAGCTCAGTTGCGGGCGCTCCTGCGACTGGTGGATGTGGTCCGGATGGAATAAGCCTTCAGGGGCCCAGGACCCGCACTGCTGGAGAAGCTCAGGGCATTGCTGCCCATGGTTCCCCCGAAGCTCAGGCCAATGCCACCACCACTGCCACTGCCACTGCCTCCAGTGGAATTCACCACAGCTGGGAGAGAAAAGAGGAGGGCTCTCTTCAGTGCAAGACTCCCTACCAGGGACCCCATCCCTTCACTGCACCCCACCCTCCTGCCCCAGCTGCCTCTCTCCCTCACCCCTGCCCCCGCCATGGGCCAACCCAGAACGAGCCTCTGACGGGGGTAGGGCTGCCCCCCAGGTGCTTCCGGGCCCACCCTGCCCTCTTGCACTGCTTCCTGGGCCATTGAGCCTGCCTGTATGTGCTCCAGGTGGCCTGCCAGACCCTGTGGAAAGAAAGGAGGCTCCTGGCCCCTTCGGCAGGGCCCTGGGCCAATCTGCCATTCTCTAGACCCAGCCCGTCTGAACAACACAAAGGTTGCTTCCCATGGGCCGCAGCCAAGGACTTACAGATATTCACAGCTCCCACTCCATCTCCGGCCAACCTAGGGGCAGAGGACAGACCGTGAGGGCAGCTCTTTCTAGCGCTGGAGGGAAGCTCTCTTAGCCCCCTCTTCTTCCAGGCCCCAAGCAGGATCATTGCTTTTCCTTCTTGCCCCACACTTCCAGCCTGACTTCAGCCTTGTAAAAGGATCGAGGAGGAGTGTAGGAAGGGAGTGTTCACCTTGGCCCTTCTATCCACTGGCTGCATGACCCCAACAATGTCTCAGAGCCTCCATTTCCCACTTATACCTTGGGCCCAACTACAGGACCAAATTCATGGGCTTGTTTGTGAGGGTTAAATGACATAATTTGCCTAACGCCCTGAGCACCTAGGATCCGGTGAATGGTAGCTGTGTGTATTATTTACGTAGATCGCTGCCTTTTCTCACTATATCATAAAATCCTAAAGGCGTCTGTGGCCTATTGATACTTTTATCCCCTGCATAAGGCCTGGAGAAGTCATTGCTTACTATATGGCAAAATAATTAGTGAATCGCTGACTGATTGAATGGGGCTCCAGCCAGGACCGAGGAGGGAGCAGGGAGTGGGGGTGGTTTAAGCAGCCAATGGGGCTGAAACAGGTCCTGCAGTAGAAATTAAAAATCTATTCAGGACAGCTGGGTATGTTTGTTTTGTGACTCACAGCCCCATTGTCACCAAGCCCTTGGCCTTGGGGATCAGTTTGCTCTCTGGGGGGAGGGAGGACCTCACTTTGGTAAAGGGAATGAAGAGAGCCTCGCTGGCCTCTGTGGCCCCAAGCCCAGGAAGCAGGCAGAGGGAAAAGACATTTGCTGACAGCTTGCAGGGGGCTTGCTTAAATGGCCCCTGCTGGTGCTGGGAGTTGCTGACACCTGTGGGTGGGGAAAGGGAGCCAGGTGGCAGCCAGGCAGCAACTCTAAGAATCTCTGGTCCGATGCCTAAAGAACTCAGATGGAAGAGGCCGGAATGTCCAAAGTCTGTGTGACTTTTCTCATTCTAAGTAAGTGGTTTTTTGGTAACTTTGTATTCTTAAAGTAGGCCTCCCAGTTTGAGTGAGTTTCTGGACCACAACTCTGATAAGTTAAGGGATGAAAGCAAGGTATCCACCTCCATATCCCCCAGGGTTGGGGGGACAGTATCCTCTCAGAATACCCGGATCTAAGCCTGGTTATAGCAGCTCAGACTGAGATTAAGGGGATGTCTCTGCAGGCTGTGTGACTTTGGCCACACTACTGACCGTTTCCGAGCTTCAGTCCCCTTTTCTTCCCGTGAAGGAAGCTGGATCAGGTACTA